GGTACCGTAACTTAGGTCGTCAGAGGAAGTAAAGGTTAACCCTTTCCATACGCCCTGAGGTCATTTTGCACCCCCGGGGTTGCATTTTTCACATTTCAGAATACTTCTAGTACGACTATTTCTTTGAAACTTTCAGTATTTCACAAAAAATCATTTTGACAGACAGCTATGCAAAGTGTGCGGATCGGATTAACGAGTAAATTTCCTCGTTGGAAAGTGGTGGCACAGAGTTCCCACGTCCTATGGATACGATAGTAAAACACGACGTACGTGGAGGGTTAAGTGGTGGCAGAGAGTTCCCCACGTCCTATGGATACGATAGTAAAACACGACGTACCGAGAGGGTTAAAGTAATGGACTACGAACGGGGGTGAATATTTTACACTCGGGAATTCTCTTTCTTCATTAGCGCGTTTTGTGCTGACATAAACTTAAAAGGATACGTGTCTACGGAATGCTGCTCACGACTTCGAAAATTGAGTGAAGAAAGTACATTTGAAAACTTTTAGTACCCCAAAATGGTTCATTTTCTAAAGAGTAAAAAAAAAAAAAAAGAAAAGAAAAGAAAATACTCGAATGCCCGCGTATTTTTCTACATATTTGATCACCGGACCAGCTTCGATATTAAAACAATCGAAATTGCTCTAGCGGTCACCTGTCCAAAACAACCATCTGTACCAATGACCTTTTCTCACTTCCTCTTGCTTTTTAAATACAATGTATTGTAATGACGGAGTCCAAGAGGTCACCTGTCTATAACCAGTTTGTTCCTCAACAATTAGTGGTTGTTTTATACAGGTTGGATCTTACATGTTAAGAAAAGTTTTGATTTGCTTTCTGGAAAAGAAGTCCTTTAGAGTTCCTTGCTACTATTACTTCTACTCTTTGAGTACAAGATTGGTCAGTCAATGATACCAAACAATGACAGAGATTTCGTCACTGGTGTCTAAGAGGACGTTATTATTATTAATGTCTCAAACTGAGGAGCGAACCATCTTGAAGTGCACGATCTTTAGTTAAGTTCTTAAAACAGATTAGAGTACATAAAAGTAGATGAGATAAATACAGATTTGTGGAATATGGTTTCAATACAATAATTCTGACTGCAAAGAGGAAAATGTTATCTGAAGGGCGCGGCAGGTAAATCTTATTCCGTAGTCACCAAGTTGGATGAGGAGGTGGGTGTACAAAACGTCCTGTGCCTTCAGCATATTGGACATCTTGTAGATATAAACAAGCCGCTAGAACCAACAGAAAGACAGACATACCATAGAGCAGTGAGAGAGAAAGTTGTGGTCTTCTCAGTGCAGGTAAAATGTTTGTGACTCTGTAGACCAAACATACTTCTTTTCATTATGATGCCCCCAAACTTTACTATTCAATTAAGACTTTCACAAAAGTTTCGCTGAAGTGTCGAGTCCTTGTGTAACCTTCACCACAGCTGCGTTCATGCTGTATGATTGTAACAGCAGGCAAGCGATCGAGTCCTGTCTCTCCTCACTGCACGAAGTCTGAATGCTGGGGCTGTAAGTTGTCACGACAGTGCTGGAGGAACGGAACGTTCTTATCTCTTCCTACACTGTCTTCAGCATAATGGACATCTCGAAGATGTAACCAAGCCGCCCGAACCAGCCGAAAGACAGACATTCCATAGAGCAGCCAGAAAGAAAGCTGTGCTGACAATGACAATGGAGCAAATAATGGTGTAAACATGGTCGGCCATAATGGCCCAACTCGACCAGCAGTTTTGGCGTTTGAGATTTGAATCTAAGTGACGTATTGTATTTTTTTTTCCTCAAGAAAAAGTTGCTCTCTGCCCAGTGTTGTGAAGGGAGACGACGATCACTGTCTTCGGAACAATATAATTTTATCTATTAATTTATGTCAATCAATGCTCTGCAAGGGAGATAATAATTAAAATATAGGTGTTTTTTTCTCAACCCCATCGACACAATTAGATCATTTAGGATTTAGGAGGCGGGATTCCGACCCTGCCTGTCAGGGCTAACCCGGGCTGAGAGAGCTACAATATTCCAGCAGAAAGATCGAGATACTCGTTAAAAAAATTGTTTCCACTCTTAAGGTGCTAGTATGGAACAATCGTAAAAAAGAATTCTCGAGTGATACATTCTTAATATTCTACAGTAAAAGGAAAAATTCTGTTGGTTTCATTTGCGTACCTTCACTTTCGCACTGAAAGATTGTATCAACGGTACAAAAAGACACGAAAGCATGGACATGTGACGGGTTTCACATTCACAACGGAATGAGATTTGATGACAACAAAATTTATCCGTGACATCTTAAAGTCATTAGTGTGCACTCTGCGTCGAAATCAGGAATGTTGGCTTAAATACAAGCTATATCCCCACCCCCTTTTACCCCCCACAAAAAACTAAAACTCGTAAAAAAAACCCAACAACAACAACAAACAAACAAATAAACAAAAAACAACAACAACAATAACAACCCCCTCCCTTTTCCCTTAACACATGAAATAATACAAGCAGACGTATACAGGAATATAGACATAAATTAATATAGGCACACACATAGACGTTACTCAGGCACACACGCATACACACACACACACACACACACACACACACACACACACACACACACACATACACACACACACACACATACACTATACACACATACATACACACACGCATACAAATACACACAAACACTTACACACAGACATAACGTACATATATACACTTTCTTATCTTTCCA